ATCCCAAGTACGCCAAATTGTACTTTGTTTAGAAACTCTCAAAAAAATCTGCTGGAAAAGGTAAGACAGAATTGTACAATGGCAGCATATGACAAAGTAACATGATCAAATGTATATATATAAATAATGGGATTATGATCCAATCTTACTTGGAATAGTGGATACTACTTCATCCATCTGAAGTCGATCTGCAAAAACAATGAAGAATAAATCGAAAAACAAATTTAAACGATCGGAGAGACGAAGGGGAAGATTCACACAGAGAATGGTGGTTTTTCCGGCATTGTCAAGGCCAAGGACTAAGATTAAAAAACAGGCGCTTGAAAACAATTCCCATTCCCTCCCCTCTTACTCCGGTCAAAGAATTTCACTTGGTATATATATATCCAAAAGGCGAAATCCCTCGCCCCAGGGCCCCCATCCCTTTGCCCGACAAGGATTGATGGAGGAATGTAAATCATGGTAACTCAACGGCCCGTTAAGGTAGCGGACCCGGACCTGGTGCCCACAAGGAACCAATCTCATTGGAGTTGAAATTCCCACACTGCGGCTGCCAGAATTCGATCCTAGGACCTTGCACCAACTTACCACCTCCGGAACCAGTTGAGCTACACCCATGCGGATATATATATATGGCAAATGGCAAATAGGCCCATGACAAGGGCACTTAATTAAAAGAGGGACATCCAAATTTTGTGTCTTTCAAATAAATCCACATTATTTAAACTTATTTGCAAATAAGGAAAATCACTTTATATATTCCAAAATTACCCCCAATTCATTGAAACCCAATTCAACTCCAATTTCATGATTTACACCCTAATTTAATTTCATCAATTAACCAATTTTAACCCCAATTTCAATTTTAACCCCAATTTTGACCCGCCACCACCGGAGACCGCCGGTCTCCGGCGTTGACTCTTTTTCTTTTTGGTTTTTTTTTTTTTTTGAAAACTTTTTTTTTCCGGTAGGTCAACGCCGTTGACCGTCGGGTCTCCAGCGTTGACTTTTTTTTTCTTAAAAAAAATTATTTTAATTAATATTACTGTCTTGGCTACTAAATTATTGTCTCCAACAGTTATTTAACTGTCAGAGACAGTAATTAACTGTTAATTGACTTTTTTTTTTTCTTCAAAAATATTTCAATTAATATTACTATATTAATTAAATCAATGTGATATATTTGTTTAAATCCGGGGTCAATGTGTAATATTAATGATGTTAGAGCATGATGGATGGAATTGATAAGAATAGTATTATGGAGGGTATACTAGACTAAAGACATGGGGATGGATTTATTTGTAAGACTGGTTTTTTTGTGGACCAATGTACATTTAAGTCCCATGTGATGGGCCTATTTGCCATTCGCCCATATATATATATATGGGTAAATAGCACTTAACCCCCTTGTGATTTGGACATTTTGCACATGACCCCCTTATGGTATGAATTTAGGCACATAATCCCCTTGTGGTTTTGATTTGCATATGACCCCCTTATGGTATGAAATTAGCACATAACCCACTTGAATAGAAAACTGAAAAAGACTAAATTAGCCCTATCAAGTCAAAAGTTCTTGTTTTAATTTAAAAATAATTATTTTATAAAATGAAAAGCTTAATGTACTTTTTTGTAAAATGAGAAATATAATATATTATTGTGTTTTTTCTATTTTACCGCACATATATTTTTTTTTTAAATTTAATTTTTCATTTCAACTTTAGAGAAATATTTTTTTTAGATTTTTCCAAAAGAATAAAAAAAATAAAGACTCTGTTTCTTACAAAAATTAAAGTTCGGTTATCTATAATATAAGAGCAAACGACTATGCTTCATAGTCGACTAAGGAAATTGATACAGAAAAGAAGGGGAAAAAACGGAAAGAAAGAAAAAAATATTTCGCTGAGCGCGCGACCCAGTGATGATGTGGCGGGCGAGGGCAAAGCTGGAAAACATAATGACTCAAAATGGGTGTAGGCTTTTCTCAAATAGACTGAAATATTTTGGACCTCTCTCCATTAAAAAAAGTAATAAGAGGGTTTCCTCAAAGAACCCTTAATTAAGTGCCCTTGTCATGGGCATATTTTCCCATATATATATATATATATATATATATATATATATATGGGGATCGTCCCCTTTTTTTTTATGCCTTTTCTTTGTGCTTTTTTTCTGCCCTATTTAAATACCAAACGTCGTCGTTGTTCCCGTTCTCTTCTCCAATCAGCTGGCCGCGTTCTTTTCTTTTTCCTTTTCTTCCCAAGCTGCTCGCGACGTGTCTGCTTCTTTTTTTCCTTTTCTTTTAATCCGCCTCGCTCGAAAACGGCGTCGTTTCAGCGAAGGCCTCCACATCTGGCCACAATTGTTGACGTCCACCGTTCCACCATTCCACGCTTCCACGCCCGCCGCTGCCGCTTCGTTCGATGCCCACCGCCCCTGCCGCCAACATCACTTCCCACCTCTTTTTTCAACCAATTGCAGACGCCGCCCTCTATCTTTCTTTAATATTATCCCGCATCTCCGCCACCTAAGTTATCTGTGCAGCCCCCACCTCCTTCTTCTCTCTGCCACCTAAGTTCCCAGGTTTTATTTAAAATTGCTGAAAAGTGTTGCATTTATTTTCGTTATTATCTGTTTTAAGGTGTTGATATAATCATGTTTGTATCACCGTTAATAGAGCTTCAATTTTGTAAGAATTGTCTGTTTCTTTTCTTCCTCGTTTTTTCTCCGTATTGCTGCCTCTTTAAATTGTTCGATTTAATTAATATTTGCATTCGATTTCGATTGTGTAAGAACAGCGTTTATAGTATGCTTAGAGACTCATGTAAATCTGCCCCTTTTTGTTTTCGTTATCCATGACTGTGGACTGCTTAATTTTGCAATCCTGTATTAATTACTTTTCACCTCAAACGAGATTTCCGATCGTCGTCGTTTTGATAATTAAGCTAATTCTGCGGGTGTTTGCATTTTTCGTGATGCGCAGAAGGTGGTGAAGGATTCGTCGAGAGATTCTAATGGAGTTCGCCGGAATGCTTTGGTGCTATCCGGAAGCAAAAGACCGTCGTCGGAGTCTTTTCGGAGCAATGATGATCGTCGATTTAGCAATGCCAAAAGGTGATTATTGCTTTCACCTTTCTACTGGTATTTGATTTCAATTTACTTTCTAGCTTGTGCATTTGTATAAGTGGAAATTAACAGTTTCTGTTTGTATGATTTGTTGATTCAGAATGAGAGTGGGTGTGAGTGCACGGAGCTACGGGTACAACAGCCGTTTAGACGGTAATAGTTAATTTCGTAAAATAGATGCTCTCTCGTGTTAGATTTTTTCGTCTCTTTTAATCAATAAATTTCATGGTGTATTTAAACTTTATTGCTGTAGATTCAAAAGATCTTCGCCTGAAACTAACACGCAAGAGAATGGTTATTCCGTTCTGAAATAATAGGAATTCTACGTCTTGCACGATCCAGCCTCATTGGTATTCTTGTTTTCAATTATAAAATATTATTTCCAATCTTATTTCTGTAATGAGGATTTGCAGATTGCTTTATTCCGGTGAGGTTTACACCTATTTTTATTTTTGACATGCCTGTGTAGTGTGGACCACAAATTTCTTACCTATTGATTTAGATGTGTCACAAATTACATTAGTTCTCATTCTCTACTATGATTGTAAAGTGCAGTTTGGGAATGCTTCTGACAGAGCCATGAATTTGCTTGATGAAAAATTTAAGTTCCTCGCATGAGCAAAACAGATAATCAGTAGGACGGATGAAGTTCAAAAGGTAACAGTAGTTTTATGAGGTAAGCTTTCTAGCACGGATATATTTGAACTTTTGTTGCAAAAAGGGCTTCTGATGCTATGCGCTAAATTTCTTTGTCCTTCTTTTCACGATATGTATGATCGACCTTTTTGCTTCTTCTTTTCTCTTTCCTTTTATTCTCGATTTTTTTCTTCTCTTCCTTCTTCATGCTCACTCGTTGCGTACAATTGCTGAATCGCTGTTGAATATTTCTCGATTTTGCTTCCAATTTTGGTTCTTCTCTGTGGGTGCAAGTTCCCGGGTCTGAATTGGATTTCCTATAATCTTTATCGAATCACTTAAGACTGAAGAGCGATGTCCATCCGTTCTTCTCTTTTCACTCCAATCCTCTTTTATCAAAATTTAAAGATTATCTGAAATTGAATATTTCAGGCACTGCTGGCATGCCTCCAAGATGCCCCAAATAATTCCCTCTTTCATAAAGAAAACTGCTATGGAAAGATGTACCTTCTTAGCACTTGCGATGATTCCTTCTTTACCAAACATTCAAGAAAATCACATTTTCCTGAAACATGGCTCACCGGCAGAGGTAGATTTGATTGCGGTTCATATCTGGCTCAGGTTATATGTCGGTTCTTTCTGTGTTTTGTGTGTGTCCTGCAGATTATGTAATGACCGACAGCATAATAGTTGTTGATCATCAATTTTGATGCTGAATTTTAATTTGATTATGAAAATTATCGACGTACCTGATTTCAAGCCTGAAATATGTGTGCTCATCATTTTCCTGCTGCAATGGGTGGAAATAAACGCCGGTGACTGTTCAGTTTCTTTTTTCTTTCCCCTGATATATTTTTAGTTCAATTAGCAAAGTGGCTCCTGCCTATCTTCTCCGTCTTCAGTTTTGCCAACTACTGATCTTGTTTGCCATAGTGTTTTGCGGGATTGTAAGTTATTCCTATTGCATTCTTCAGATTTTTCGACGATTCACGATCTCACTGGGATTTTCTCTGCCTTTGCTGCGCCTTCTGCAATCTTGTTGCCCTGCTCGTTCACATTGTCCTGCCGGTCTCGTTTGTTTTTCCTTGCGCCCATATGTTACCTTTCTTATTTGATTTTTTCTCTATTTCTTGCCTTGGATGTTTATTTCCACTGCCTCCAATTTTCTACTATCTCTGGATATATCTATTTGCCTTATATTCGCCTACTTAAAGTTGCTCTATTATGAATATTGTATTCCACTATCATTCACTCTCTTGAGTGTGTGTTCTGCTTAATTGTTTTGAATTTCATGTTCAGTGAAAAATGTTGTAGGTAGAGGTGCCTCTTCATTCTTTAATATTTTGCAATTTTTGCTAGACTGGTTAAGGGCAGGAAGTAGAAGCTATGAAGGAGCGGATATGGTGAGACGGCAGTTGACAGGGGTCGAAACTGGAGGCTTCTTCGTGCTTTTGGTGCTATGCCAAAGCTTTTCCCCAGGATCTCATGGTGGAGAGATTAGTTGGAATTTGGAAATAGTTCAACAACCCTTTTACTGATTTGTTTTGATTAAATTTTCATTTAGCCTTTGCATATGGGACTTCAGAACTTGAGAGCTTGAGAGAAAATGTTATCTTAATGTTGTTACTGAGGTATGTTATCTTATGACTAACTCTTCTTTTAAAAAATCACTTGTATTTTTGCATGCTAGCTGAGGTATATTATGTGTTTGAGTAGGTTTTTCAGAATGCCCCTTCTATGCTTATTGTTGAGGTTAGAAAAGCAAAGTCAGATACAGTACATGCTAGACGCCGCTTTGTTCGATTCTCGCCGCGGCCACCCCTTCCACTGATACACATGGTAGGCCACGTTCCGACGGCTTTCACCTACTTTTTTTCCACCTCGGCCCCTTCTCGACCACATCGAATATTGGATAATTCAAAATTAATGATTTCTGGTGCGTCGTCCTTTTTTTTTTCACTTCGCCATTTCTCTTCCAAAAATTATGCAAATATATGTCAATCAGCCATTTTCTTTGCTGCTCCTGTTTTTTTTTTTCTTACTGCAAGATCGGTTCCACTAAAGAAAAAAAAAATTTGGGTTTTCTAAGTTCCCTGTTTCCGTCCAAAATTAGGCGTCGCGCTTCTAGCCAACCACATTTCGTTCCATGCTTCGGAATTCTATCGAATGAGGTGGACTCAATTTTTTTTGTCTTTGTTATATTTCAGCCATTTTTCCTCCTGTCAGCACTAAAAGATTCTGTTTTTCCAGATTTTATTTTTTATTTTTTATTTTTTTATTTCTCCTCTCACCATGCTCTGTGTTATATGTTTCATGCATAGAGTTTTGCAAAAAAAAGAAAAAAATGTTTCATGCATAAAGAATTAGAGACCGTTAGTGTTCTTCACTGACCAAATTATAATAGACAATAAAGCAGATATTTTGTAAATTCATATTGAAAAGAAAGCTAAAACAAAATAGAGCTTATTTAATATCACAAAAATGCTGGTAATTTTGGTTTCCAAGAACAAGAGTGTATAGGGCTTGTTTTTGGTTGCTTATTGCTGATTACATTCAGATGTTTCTTTTTAATAAAACGGTTGTGTATTAGCACCCATGCCCTTCATATTTTGATAATTTCGCCTACCTATCAACGGGGATGCCTTTCTGTTAATGCAAACATTTGACAGTTGAATAAGCTATTTATTTCAGAAGAAAATTTATGTTAGTCTTCTTTAATTTCTGCAAACTGTGTTTAGTGCGAATTGAGAATTGTCCACATTATTCATCATATGATCTTTTGATCGAACACAAATAGTCGGTAACCGGCATCGAGCTGGGCACCGCGCATTGCGCGGTGCTCGTTACTAGTATATATATATATATATATATATATATATATATAATCCCAAACATCATTTGACATACCCCTGGAGCACCAATTTTCTGAAGTTTCATCTCTCTACTTAATCTTTTTCGGTGCCTATTTATGCCCGAAACGGGTGTGAAATAGCCTCCTACGTCACGAACAAACTGGGTGCCAAAGCAGACTTCCACACTCAGTTTTTTCTTAATTGTCTTCTTTTGGGGTAATATGCTATGAAGCTCTGAAAGGAAGTCTAATTTGAACTAAATGACAAGTCCAAATTCATTTTTTTTTAATTAAATCCTTAATTTGAAATAATATATTAGCCACATCTCTAAAATTTTTGTATCCCTATCTTACCATTATACCCTAAATCCTATAAACTACATATATTCACGTTTATCTTTTCTTCTGTAATCTCTCTCCCACTTTCTCTCCCACTTTCTCTCGTCTGCCCTCTCTCTCACTGTCGTTTTTGTTTTCTCTCACAATCTCTCCCCTTTTTCTCCTTCTCTGTCCTTCTTTCTCTATCGCTATTTCTCTCTTGCATCCATGTGTTTCAGATCTATCGTAGTTAGGGATGGAGTATCTCGTTGAAATCGTCGTAGGATGAGTTTTTCAGATCAGATCTTGATGTGGGGGTGGGTAGGGTTGTTCATGGGTCGGTTTTACCCGACAACCGACCCATTATCTACCCGACTATTCTGGCCGATAATTGCCCACCAACCGACTCGTTTTGGTCGGGCCGATAATTTTAACCGACCCATGCATGGTTGGGTCGGGTATAGTTTCTGATTTGTTGAAAAGTCGGTTGGCCGATATTACCTGACCAACCGACTTTTTTTTTAATTATTATTTTTATATTTTTCTTTGCGTTTTACTGACTATTAATTTCAATATTTAATTTTTGACATTTCGGTGAAATGAATAAAAGTACACAATGAAAAAAACTCTACTCTTCATTTTTTCCTTCTCTTCGACTATTCTCTCTCTGTCAACCATAGTCGCCGATGTATCTCTCATCTCTCTCTATCAGCCTATCGTCGCCGACGCGCCATTGCTTCCTCCAAAGATTTACCTCTAGCCCTCTCTTGTTTTTTTCTAAACTCTAAGGTATGGATTTTTGTGTTTCTCAAATAAAAATTAAAAATTTCATAATTTTGTATTGTGAAAGTGTGAATGGCTGAAAGTGATTCATTTTAGTATGTTATATTATTTTTGGAATTTTAATTTGTAATATGTGATATTGTTGAAATTTGATTTTGGGCATGAAATATTGGAATGTTTGTTGCTGAATTTTGATAGATGAATAGCATAATTTTTTTTTATTTTTTATTTTTATTTGATGTGGCCGATATTGGCCCATAATTTTCAACCGACCCGTTAAGGCAACCGACAAAGTCGGTTGCCAACCATTACCCGACTCACAATAGTCGGACCGATAGTAGTTTTACATATTTGTAAGAGTCGGTTGGTCGGGTCGGGCCGATAATCGGCCGAGAATCAACCGACCCGACCCATGAACAACCCTAGGGGTGGGGGTGGGGGGCGGCGGTGGTTTTGGTCGTCGGTACCTGGCAGTGGTTTTGGTCACTGAGGCAGCGGTGGTTTTGATGGCTAGCAGCGGAGGTGATTTTCTTCGGTGGCGACAGTGCTATTGGTCGCAACAATGGTTAAATGAGAGCTAGTATTTTAAGATTGTGATTACAAACGACTTTGGGTGACAACAAATTACTAAGTTTTCTATGGATGTCTATAGATTACTACGACCGAAATTTGTTTTTTAAAAAAATTATGATGTTCAACATCATGTAGAAAAAAAAGAAAGAAAATTGATTTTATAGTACTAAAAAAATACTTATATATAAAAAACATGTTCTACGCAATGAAAAATAATAACAAATATGTTAGATGGCAAAATGAAAAATAATAAATGCAGAATACAAACTGATAAATGTAGTTTAGATATTACTTGGTACTTGTATTAGGAGGATTATATTAGTATTAGTATTAGTATTAGAATTAGTATTAGTATTCGTATTCGTATTAGCATTGGTATTAGTTTTAGTATTAATTAATATTAGTATTTAGTATTTAGTATTTAGTATTTAGTATTTAGTATTTAGTATTTAGTATTTAGGTGGTGTTTGCAAATGATTATTTAAAAGCAGAAGTTAGTGATTGTGAGTTAAGTCAGTTTTAAGTGTTTATTTCTAAAAGTTGGGGGTGTTTGCAAATATTTCGAAAAATGAACTAAAATTGAAAAAGCAGGGTTAGGGGTGCTTTTAAAAAAATAGCTTAAAGCAGATTATTTTAAGAGAAGCAAAAGCAAAATTTGATGTTGCAAACACCTAAAAACAGATTATGAGCAAAAAAAAAACCGCATAATCACTTTCAAAAAGCATTTGCAAACACCACCTTAGTATTCAGTATTAGTCGTAGTATTAATATTAATATTAGTATTAGTATTAGTATTAGTATTCGTATTAGTAATTTTTTATTTTATTTTGGAACAACTTTACTAATTCCAACTTCCGAAATTTCGATTTCAAAAATTTTTCCAACTTTTTTGCATTGGAATTGAAATTATATAAAAAATAAATTTTCCGATTTTCGATCCGATTTAATTTTCAAAATTAGTTCCAAACAATTCTGTTTCCCCCCCCCCCCCCCCGCAACAAAAAAAAAAATGCACCTTTAAATAATATATATTATATAATACTTATTTTAAGTTTTTTTTTGTTTTCTGAAACAATAATTTGATTTAAGTTTTGTTTTAGGATTTTGAGGTATTGAATTGTTGTTAGAAGTTTTATTGGATATGTGTTTCACTTTTTATTTGTTTTGAAATAAAATTTAGTAGTTATTAGTTTTACTTTTATCGACGTGGATGTTCTTATTTTTTGAAAATTATGAAAATTTCAGAAAATTTCCGCTAAGTTTTGAAATTTTAAAACTTATGTGATTTCCGAAATCTTTCCAATTTTTTGAAATTTCCGGGCCTTTTGGAATTGTAATTGGAATTGATTTCGTACTTCCCAATTTTTATGGAAATTTTTCGAAAAGGCTTATTTTGTTCTGATCTTTTGGACTTTCACCTCTAAATATTAGTAATCGTATTGGTATCAATATTAATATTAATATTAGTGTTAGTGTTATTGTTAGTATTAGTGTTAGTATTAGTATTAATATTAGTATTAATATCTTATTAAGAAAAGAAGGGTTCCTGAAGTAACCCTATGAAACCCTAAGGGCAACTTTTCCTGCACATTCGAAATTATTCTTGTAAATACCTTATTTAATATAGTTTAATAATTATTAATTCATTTTTTTCTACGTTTCCTATTTTTTATAACTAATCTGAAACTAGTATTCTAATCTTATTAACAAACGAAAAAGAAGGGTTATTGGAGAAACCCTATCAAACCCTAAGGGCAACTTTTCCCGCTCATTCGAAATTATTGTTGTAAATATCTTATTTAATATAGTTTAATAATTATTAATTCATTTTTTTTATGTTTTCTATTTTTTCTAACTAATCTCCTAGTTGGATTCAATTTTATTATAAAAAAAAAAAGAGTTTCTAGAGAAATCTTATCAAACCCTAAGGGCAACTTTTCCCGCCCATTCGAAATTATTGTTGTAAATATCTTATTTAACATAGTTTAATAATTTGTAATTCAATTTTTTCATGTTTCCTATTTTTTCTAACTAATCTCAAACTAGTTTCATTCGATTCAGTCTTCTAATTTTTTGTTTTCTAGCTTAATAATTATTAATTATTTTTCTACATATCTAATTTAATTTTGTTAAATGTGATTCAATTTCTTAAATGTGATTCTGGCGTTGATTTTTTTTTTTTTTTTTTTAACTTTTGTTTTTCCTGAAATTTTTTTCCGACCGATCAATCACCGTTGACCGCCTGTCACCGACGTTGACTTTTTTTTCGATTTTTTTTCTTGGAAAAAAATGTTTTAATTAATATTACTGTCTTGGCTACTAAATTACTGTCTCAGACAGTAATATTACTGTTTGGGACAGTAATATTATGAATATTATTTTCCCGACCAGTAATATTATTAATATTATTGCTTAAGACAGTTAAATTACTGTTCAAGAGAGTAATTTAGCAGTCAAGGCAGTAATATTAATAAAAATACATTTTTTTAAGAAAAAAAAAGTCAATTAACAGTTAAATTACTGTCTCCGACAGTTAAATAACTGTTGGAGACAGTAATTTAGCAACTAATACAATAATATTAATTAAAAATATTTTTTTAGGAATAACAAAGTCAATTAACAGTTAAATTACTGTCTCTGACAGTTAAATAACTGCTGGAGACATTAATTTAGCAACGAATACAATAATATTAATTAAAAATAGTTTTTTTAAGAATAAAAAAGTCAACTAACAGTTAAATTACTGTCTCCGACAGTTAAATAACTGCTGGAGACAGTAATTTTGCAACGAATATAGTAATATTAATTAAAAATATTTTTTTTTAAGAATAAAAAAGTCAATTAACAGTTACATTACTGTCTCCGACAGTTAAATAACTGCTGGAGACAGTAATTTAGCATCAAATACAGTAATATTAATTAAAATATTTTTGAAGGAAAAAAAAGTCAATTAACAGTTAAATTATTGTCTCTGACAGTAATATTAATTAAAATATTAATTAGCAGCCAAGACAGTAATATTAATTAAAATATTTTTTCTAAGATAAAACAAAATAAAAAAAAAAGTTCACTCCGGAGACCCGACGGTCAATGGCAGTTGACCGGCCGGAAAAAAATTTCAAAAAAAAAAAATTCAAAAAAAAAAGTCTATGCCGGAGACCGGCGGTCAACGG